AGATAGAGTCCTGAGCATTATCTAATGCGAGGGACTTTAAATCTCATTGAAAGAAATGATCATGCCCTAACTGTCTTAGAACATGGCCACGAAGGTGTTAATCTTACCTGCGTAATTCGTATTTTCTATTTAGAGAAAATTAATAAAGAAATGAACAATAAAAAACAATTTCCAAATTAGTATTGTCTATATAGAGAATACTTTTGAGCTATTGTATTCCATTGTTTTCCCTCCATCTGTGCAATTCATTTTGTCGAAATTCCGTTTTTCATGTTCATGTTTGTACGTTAAGTCAACGATGTTCATGTTTGTACTTTAAGTCAACGATGTTCATGTTTGTACGTTAAGTCAACGATGTTCATGTTTGTACGTTAAGTCAACGATGTTCATGTTTGTACTTTAAGTCGATGTTCATGTTTGTACGTTAAGTCAACGATGTTCATGTTTGTACGTTAAGTCAACGATGTTCATGTTTGTACGTTAAGTCAACGATGTTCATGTTTGTACGTTAAGTCAACAATAATACTTTAATAATTTTAGTTTAATTTTCGTGCATGTATATATTTATGCACATAAAATTTGAAAGGACATTTTGTAGGAGGAAAGTGAGCTTTCGACCGAGTTAGAAAAACTTGAAAGAGAACGTAATCTTCATATTCGCGAGATGAAACGTTTACATAATGAAGATAAGTCAAGGTGAGAAAGAATATTTTGTGATAAAAATATTCACTTTACCTCAAGTTAATATAAGATCAATCACTTCATTCTTTAATGTATATTGAATAAAATGTATGGTAAGTAAAATGTATGGTAAGTAAAATGTACGGTGAGTAAAATGTATGGTAAGTAAAATGTATGGCGAGTGAAATGTATGGTGAGTGAAATGTATGGTAAGTGAAATGTATGGTAAGTGAAATGTATGGTAAGTGAAATGTATGGTAAGTGAAATGTATGATGAGTGAAATGTATGGTGAGTGAAATGTATGATGAGTGAAATGTATGGTGAGTGAAATGTATGGTGAGTGAAATTTATGGCGAGTGAAATGTATGGCAGAGTGAAATGTATGGTGAGTGAAATGTATGGTAAGTGAAATGTATGGTGAGTGAAATGTATGGTGAGTGAAATGTATGATGAGTGAAATGTATGGTGAGTGAAATGTATGGTGAGTGAAATGTATGGTAAGTGAAATGTATGGTAAGTGAAATGTATGGTAAGTGAAATGTATGGTGAGTGAAATGTATGGTAAGTGAAATGTATGGTGAGTGAAATGTATGGTGAGTGAAATGTATGGTAAGTGAAATGTATGGCGAGTGAAATGTATGGCGAGTGAAATGTATGGTGAGTGAAATGTATGGTAAGTGAAATATATAAAAGATAAACGTTTCTCCGGATTTTTAAATGATTTTTATTGAGCTTTCGACTCGTTGCTTCGAGCCTTCATCAGAATGAGGATATTTATTTACACGTGTTTTTAGCTTGGAGACGTTTAGAGCGTCTAATTGGATTAGTGTGTGGATTAATGTGATTGGATGGGGTGAAATGCGTTGCCATGGGTTTTGGTGTGTTGTTAATATGGTTGGTGTTAATATAATTAGAGTGTAGTGTTTTAGTTTTGGTGTTGTTTGTAGTTTTTTTGTCCTTTTTCTTTAGTTGTGAGTATATGATGGGTATGTCTATATGTCTGTTTATTGTGTCGTTGTCTTCACTGTACCAAGCTTCTTTAAATTCGCGTGCGTGTTTAGTCTGTGCGCGTCCGAGTACTTTAGTTTCTGTCCAGTCGAATGTGTGGTTGTTTCCGTGGGTATGTTCTGCCGGTAGTGAGTTCGGATCTCGTAAAATGAAATGAAATGTATGATGAAATGAAATGAAATGTATGTGAGTGAAATGTATGATGAGTGAAATGTATGGTGAGTGAAATGTATGGTGAGTGAAATGTATGGTAAGTAAAATGTATCGTAAGTGAAATGTATGGTGAGTGAAATGTATGATGAGTGAAATGTATGGTAAGTAAAATGTATGGTAAGTGAAATGTATGGTGAGTAAAATGGTGAGTGAAATGTGGTGAAGTAAAATGTATGGTAGAGGTGAAATGTATGGCAGGTGAAATGTATGATGAGTGAAATGTATGGTGAGTGGAATGTATGGTGAGTGAAATGTATGTGAAAGTAAAATGTATGGTGAGTGAAATGTATGATGGGTGGGAATGTATGGTGAGTGAAATGTATGGTGAGTGAAATGTATGGTAAGTAAAATGTATGGTAAGTGAAATGTATGGTGAGTGAAATGTATGATGAGTGAAATGTGGTGAGTGAAATGTGGTGAGTGAAATGTATGGTGAAAGTAATGTATGGTAAGTGGAAATGTATGGTAAAATGTGGTGAGGTGGAATGTATGCTTGAGTGAAATGTGGGCTGAAATGTAAGGTGAGTGAAACATGGTAAGTGCTGGAAATGTAGTGGTGAGTGAAATGTATGATGATTGAAATGTATGGTGAAATTGAAATGTATGGTGAGTGAAATGTATGGTAAGTAAAATGTATGGTGAAATGAAATATTATGGTGAGTGAAATGTATGATGGTGAAATGTTGGCATTAAATAAAATGTCAGATTGAGTAAAATGTATGGTGAGTAAAATGTATGGTGAGTGAAATGTATGGTGATAAAATGTATGGTAAGTGATGTATGGTGAGTAAAATGTATGGTGAGTGAAATGTATGAAATAAAATGTTATGGTGAGTGTGAATGTGTAATTGGTAGGTAGTGGGGTAATGTATGGTGTGAGTAAAATGTATGGTGAGATGTATGGTGAAGTGAATAGTGCAGAGTAAAAGATGTATGGTGGGTAGAATGTGGTGAAGTGGGAATGTATGGTGGTGAGTATGTGGTGGGAGTAAATGTAGTGGGTGAAATGTATGGTGAAGTAAAATGTACAGTGAGTAAAAGTATGGTAGAGTAAAATGTATGGTGAATTGAAGTGTATGGTGAGTGAAATGTATGGTGAGTGAAATGTGGTGGGTGAAATGTATAGTTAGCAGAAATGTATGGTGAGTAGGATTTATGGTGAGTGAAATGTATGGTGAGTGAAATGTATGGTAAAGTGAAATGTGTGGTAAGTGAAATGTATGTTGTAGTGATATGTATGGAGTGAAATGTATGGTAAGTGAAATGTATGGTGAGTGAAATGTATGGTGAGTGAAATGTATGGTAAGTGAAATGTATGGCGAGTGAAATGTATGGCAGTGAAATGTATGAGTGAATTGAAATGTATGGTAAGTTAAATATATAAAAGATAAACGTTTCTCGGATTTTTTAATGATTTTTATTGAGCTTCGACTCGTTGCTGACTTCATCAGAATGAGGATATTTATTCATGTTTTAGCTTGGAGACGTTTAGAGCGTCTAATTGGATTAGTGTGGATTAATGTGATTGGATGGGGTGAAAGTTACCATGGGTTTTAGTGTGTTGTTAATATGGTTGGTGTGTATAATTAGAGTGTAGTGTTTGGTTTTGACATTGTTTGTAGTTTTTGTCCTTTTTCTTTGGTTGTGAGTATATGATGGGTATGTCTATATGTCTGTTTATTGTGTCGTTGTCTTCACTGCATGCTTCTTTAATTCGCGTGCGTGTTTAGTCTGTGCGCGTCGAGTATGAGTTTTGTCCAGTCAAATGTGTGGTTGTTTCCGTGGGTATGTTCATGGTAGTGAGTTTGGATCTCGTAAAATGAAATGAAATGTATGATGAAATGAAATAGATGTGATAGATGTGTCAGATTGAGTGTGTGATTGGGTGGGGAGTGGTGAGTGAAAGTGTGGTGGTGAAATGTGGTGAGGTAATGTATCGTGGTGGAATGTGGTGAGTGAGTGGTGGTGAGTGAATGTATGGTAGATGTGTAATTTGTGGTGAGTGTGTGAATTTGGTGATCAAATGTGTGGTGGTGTGGGTGAGTGTGGTGGGTGAAATGTATGGTGAGTAAATGTATGGTGGGTGATGTGGTAAGGTAAATGTATGGTGGAGGTGAAATGTATGGTGAGTAAAATGTGGTGGTGGTGAATGTGTGAATGGGAGTAAGATGTACGTGAGTAAAAGATGTGAGGTGATAATGTATGGTGGTGGGAAATGTATGATGAATTGGAATTTGGGTAAGGTGTGGTGGTGAGTATGGTGGGTGGAAATGTGATGGGTGAAATTTATGGTGAGTGAAATGTATGGTGAGGTGAAATGTATGGTGGAGTGAAATGTATGGTGAGTGAAAATATAGTGAGTGAAATGTATGGTGAGTGAAAGGTATGGTGGAGTGAAATGTATGGTGAGTGAAATGTATGGTGGAAGTATGGTGTGAGTGAAATGTGGTGAGTGAAATGTATGGTGAAGTGAAATGTATAGTTAGAAATGTATGGTGGAAAATGTAGGTGACTGAAATGTATGGTGAGTGAAATGTATGGTGAGTGAAATGTATGGTGAGTGAAATGTATAGTTAGTGAAATGTATGGCGAGTGAAGTTTATGGTGAGTGAAATGTATGGTGAGTGAAATGTATGGTGAGTAAAATGTTTGGGACTAATATAAGTTTGAAAATCCAGGCATGTTTATTAAATTCGACAAAATTGTTTATTGCTACATAATTATTTTTTTTATAGATTTAAAGATAATCCAACTTTATCTGAAAGATATCTTCTCCTTCATCTTTTAGGAAAAGGGGGATTTAGTGAGGTTCATAAGGTACAATAATAGATTGTTATGATTGAAATCTTGTACATATTTTATATTTAAGTTATGTGTCTTAGGTTGTATCGATAAAGGGTAAACATAAATATTTACATTTGCATTGCAATGTTCGCCAGTTCGTTTCCTTATAAAAATATTTGATCACTCTTGCTCAAAATTAATTTGTGTTTTAACATCCAACAGTTGATTTTATAACATTTTGTGTTGTACTGTTGTACAACGATGAGTGGTGTGTGTTTTGCCACCTAAATCTTGTTACGCAATTTTGTGTACTTAATGTTTAACTATTTACTTTCAAGGGATTTGATTTAAAGGAACAACGTCATGTTGCATGTAAAATACACCAGTTAAATAATGATTGGAAAGAAGATAAAAAAATTACATCAGGTACGTGTGTAATTACCTGAGTTGTGCTTGCTATCAGCTCTTTTTTTATGAAGAAATTTTCTTGTTTTAGACACGCTATTAGAGAATACAACATTCACAAGACTTTAAACCATCATGTATGTTGTGTATGCCTTGTCATGTATATGAATGATTTGTGATGAATGGAAACAAGGAAAAATGCTTTATAGAATTCTAACATTTTGTTTGGTTTATTTTGTAGAGAATAGTTCGCCTGTATGATGTTTTTGAAATTGATTCAAATTCGTAAGTTATTTGATAACGATGAATTATGTAATTTTTTCAATTTGGAGTACATTATATTTTTGTGATCAAACATATTGTCTGTTTGTGTAGATTTTGTACTGTCTTAGAATATTGCGACGGAAATGACCTAGATTTTTTGTTAAAACAACACAAAACAATTGCCGAAAAAGAGGTATGAAGTAAAGTCGACTTCATTTCTGTCTCATTGAGATGATAACTTTTTAAAATTTTGTTATGATTTTTTCAGGCCAGATCAATAATAATGCAAGTATGTAAGAACGATTGTATTGTTTTTCTTGCTGTACAAACTTTGATACTGAATATTTTTTTAATAAAATAAAAGCTAAGACATAATGTTTTAACTTCAGGTAGTAAGTGCTCTGAAATATTTAAATGAAAGGGAACATCCAATTATTCATTATGATTTAAAACCGGGTAGGTCACTTCAAACACCATTATCAAATATTTATGTCTCTCAATTCATTTGAATTTTGAAAGAAAAGTAATTGAATAATGTGACAGTAGACATATTTTTTTTATAAGTCGAAAAACCTTTCCATTTGCCTACCAACTAATAAGAAAATCAACAGCCAAATTTTTCTTTAAAAAAATCGCCTTTGCGACTGTAAAATAAAATTTTGATATCTCTTAACTTTTGAAAATTTGGCTTGTGTGATGAAAAATATGACTTTACTGTACGTAGGTAATATTCTCTTGGTGGGAAATGGCTCATTGTGTGGCGAAGTAAAGATCACAGATTTTGGCCTGAGTAAAATTGTGGAGACTGAGGACGATAGTATGGAGTTGACGTCACAGGGAGCTGGTACCTACTGGTATCTCCCCCCTGAATGTTTTGTTGTGAGTAATGAACCTCCAAAGATTTCTTCAAAAGTGAGTGTAGGAAATATTTACAGTGAACAAGAACAATTCAGATGTTTCTTGTAGGTTGTCAACCATCTGGTGTTTAGCTGATACAATGCTTACTTTAATATTTTAAGTTTTTATCATATATGTCCTATATACTTAGAGAAACACTTACTCTCCTCTGACTTATAAAAGTGAAATAGAAATTTAATTATTATATTTAATTAAGTTATACTCCCAACTAGTGTATGAATTATCTCGAAATGGCATTGACTACCAGCTCATTCATGATATGTACTAGATAAAAAAATGATAAAATTAAATCCAATTTCATCAATAAATTATCTGAGGCCTCGCTCACAATCTCCAGGATTGACAGATCATGCCATTTTTGTTTGATATTCACTGGGCAGTTATAATTTTTGACTAGTTTAAGAGAGTTGGAGAGGGGGAAAGGCTAGATTTGGCTATGGGGAAGGAACTAGTTTTGGCTAATGGGGAGGGCTAGTTATGGCTAATGGGGGAGAGGCTAGTTATGGCTGTACTTAACAGATAAATGTTAATAATATTAAATCTTGCGTAGGTTGATGTTTGGTCCGTTGGAGTGATCTTTTATCAGATGTTATACGGTAAAAAGGTTGTTATTTTTTCCATTCTGTTCTATCATATCGTCATATTTGTAAAGAATGTTAGTTTTACTGAAGTACTGTCTTTGGGGTCCTCCAACTAGTAAACAGAGACGAAGCTTTAAATGATTGACCTGGCTGAATGAAAAGATAGATCTTTTATGTAGTAACTATCAAAATATTTTTCAATACATACATTGCCTATGTTTCAGAATATTTGTCAGAAGTGTATGCATTTTATTGAAGTTGCATGACTTGAGAATTCCTAGTAATTTATTTTGAAAGAGAAATGAATGCAATATAATCTTTCAAGTCGCTTTTCCCTCAATAATTTACTTGATAAATCGATCAATATATTTGTATGTGTCATGTTCCATTTATAGTAGTAGCAAAATACTCTTTTAATCTTTGCTTTAGTGATGTTTCTATTTCTTCAGCCATTTGGCCACAATATGTCGCAAACCGCAATCCTTGAAAACAAAACCATTTTAAAAGCAACTGAAGTAGAGTTTCCTCCCAAACCTAGTGTCAGTTTGGAGGCAAAGGTATTATTTTGTAAGGCATTCATCAATTTCTTTCGTAGTTTCTCGTCATTATATATTGACTGATTTTGTTATTCGTTGTTCCTGAAATTTTATATACTTACAGAATTTTGTTCGTCGATGCTTGGAATACAATAAAGACAGTCGTGCTGACGTGTTCGCGATATCTGAAGATCTCTACATTAAACCTGGGGCTGGGAAAAAATCGTCAACGTAGCAGACGGTTATCAACTGATGTTGCAATCAGTGTCCTAGAGAGTTACGTTTTTTTTGTAAGGTAGGTTTTATCATTAGTAGTTAAATACTTTTAAGCTTTTAGGATTTTCTAAAAATTTTTATGTACTATATTTAGATAGTTATGGATTATTTTCGACTGACATAGATGAAAAACCTTGCACAATTTACACGGCGGCTAAACATCTACGTAGTGTGTTTATGTGCAGAAATTTGTGCAAAAATTGTTCAAATATTTACCGAAAAAAATATGGCGATACTCACTAAATGGAGGAAGTGTATTTGTGATGAATTTGATAACAAATAGACTGGAGATAATGTGCGTTCTATCCGGTTAATCCTGTGTGTTTGAACGTGTTTTGTAAATTAGAACGAACACCTAAATATTTCCATTAAAGGACCAAATTTTTGGTCTGGTTATTGCTAACCCATTGCTAACCCATTGCTAACCCATTGCTAACCCATTGCTTTAACCCATTGCTAACCCATTGCTAACCCATTGCTAACCCATTGCTAACCCATTGCTAACCCATTGCTAACCCATTGCTAACCCATTGCTAAATTTGTAAAAAATTAATAGTAAGATGAATAATTTAGTAGCCATCAATGTGTCATCATTAGAATACAATGTTTAAATCGTATATTATTCCATATGAACTGGGGTAAGAACAGGTGATAGTGATTTATAGCTACTTGTTGAACTTCTGCTCCATGTTTCTTTTGATGATATGAACTCTTTGCTTCTCGTCTGCAATAATTGTGGATATGCTTCGACTGTAGGTGAAGAAACCTCGCACTCAGCATTTTGTCTTTTTATGTATTCATGTAAATATGCGCGAGCTGCTATTCTTCCAGACTAAGAAAACACAAAACATTCAATGTCCCTGATATTTTATGTACACACACATGCATGTGCATGCAATGATAGAGATAGAAAACATTGGATAACACGGAATAGTTAGCATACAAGATTCTTTTCACGGTTGATGCCAAATTACTCAATATTATGGAGCATCAAAATTTTTATCTACTCACATTTGAAACGGTGTTGGGCGCGGAAGGATGCGAGTAATGACCAAAGTTTTCAAGTTGCAAAAAATTATTGCTATTCGTCAAGTCTGGCCATTTCGCACAGCACTGCATAAATATGCTTATTTTTTGCATAGTGCATGTGTTGTTGAAAGACAAAAAGGCATTTTGAATCTAAGTGTGGGTAGACACTTTGCCCTATCACCCCTCCCCCCCCCCCTTCCCCTCCACCTTCCTAAGATACAATCGACTGTACGAGATGAGATTTTTTCATTTTTACGATATAAAAGATCCAGGTGTTTATTTCTATACCTCAATAAGAAAAACTTTATCTTCATTTTCCAAATTAAAGTCATTTGCCTCCACATAGTCTGTATCAATTCCAATTGATCGATAAACGTCACGTTTCTAAGAACATTAACTTATTGCTGCAAAATACTTTTTTTTGTAATTTACAAGTTATTGTTGCAAAATACTTTTGTAATTTGTAAATACTAGTCATTGTTGCAAAATACACGACTTGTGTATTGTTGTGTATGGTTGTAAGGCACTTGACCTGTATGTTGTTGTGTTGCTAATGACTTGTGTACTGCTGTAGCTATTGTATTGCGATTGTGTGTTGTATTGTTGTTTACAAAATAACCACTACACAACTCGTGCCATGATTGGTCTATAGCAAAGTTTGCATTAGCCTGTACAAACCAATCTGAGCTCATTGAAATCAATGAAAGAGAATTCGCAAATCAATCATGAATACATATGTGGGAGAAAATTTTAATATTTGCTTTCAATTTATCTGTTTTGCACTGTTTTTTTTTCATAAAAGAAATGAAAGATGTTTTTCGTGTTTGCACTGGCTTATGAAAACCCATTGAACTAAAATACATGGAACGCTGCCTGAAGCAAATAATTGAAGCCAAATCTTACATCAGACACGCGAGATTTTACCCCAGACACGCGTGTGTAGTGTTTCGAGATTCTCTCGCGGAGTGAAAATTGATTACACACGCGTGTCTGAGATAAAATCAAGGCTTCAAAAAATCATTTGGGTTTTGTATTACAGGTAGCGTTCCATGTATTTTAGTTCAGTGTAAAAACGTCGAAGACATTTGTAAAAATTCCATCAAAAAGGTGCTAACTTCTATGCACTGATCAAGTCTTCAGTTTTCACAAACGTTTCCTTGATTTGGATAAGCGTGCATAGTCAAATTACGAGAAACATCAAAGTACCTCAACAAATACACGTTTGGCATTCACTTGTAACGCTGTCTAAAAAGAATTAATAAATTTACTCACTGGTGGACTTTGTAAAGCAAATAAATTTGTGTAACATTACGTACTTGCAAAGTCTGCAAAAATCAGGCAAGTTTTTTATTTCTTTCCTGGTGTATCCGAGAAATCTTTTTTTTAAATTTACGCCTTTCTTCGCCACAAAGGCCATTAATTCCTGAAACGTGATCTATGAAATTTTTTTCAATCAGGTCAGTGGCGGATCAGACTACGTAAAAATAGATTACTGCAGCACATTTTTGGCGTATATTTACATTTCTAAACACCTTAGAAGCTAATCCATTGGTAAAATTATATTCTTTAGAAATAAAAACCATTAGTGTTTTTCTGAAGGTAATTTAAATTTAAAATTGAGGAGCTATAATTTATTTTGACGTACACTAGATCCGCTACTGAATTAGGTTGTTTTAATTTTCACTGAGTAATTTTTTATTTCCAGTAGAAGATATTAAAAAGTATTTTCTCTTATGGTAAAGAAAAAAGTGTTTTCTCGTAACAAAATCATTAACGTATTAACCAATACGTTGTTAACCAATAGTTAATAAGTCATTAACCAATCAAATTACTCGTAACAAAATCATTAACGTATAATATTTTCACAATACCAGACTAACCTCTCCATCATTGTCGTTGTCTACTTCTGAGAATGCTTGCTTTGCGTCACAATCATCGCCAAACAATTGCATTAAATCATTTGGGTGAAGATTTACAGGTTTTTGAAAACTGTGCTAAATTTTGCAAGTTTATTAGGCTGTCTTCATTTAAATTGTTGATTTCCAACTCCTAAATTATAAGTCATATAGAAATCATTAAATGTAAGTTTTTTCAGATATCAGTTTAATATGTTTTGATCTATTGAACTACATAAAAAAGTATCTTTTTTATTATATAAACTTTATCAATTTTTCTAAGCAACGGCTAAATTCTAGCGATGTATTTATGTATGTTTAAAAGCACAAAAAAGACCACATTTCTTTTCAAAACGTCATGAAGTTTATAATAAAAAAAGTCTTATCTGTGATAAACAACAAATCGATATGGGGATAAAATATTCAAACAAATCAATGCATGGCGGCTGCGTGCATTTAGAAATTTTCAATCTTAATTGCTAGTTTACCAAAATGTGCTCATTTTAGATTAGCGAATGGCTTAAATAAAGCAGTAAATAGTTCTATACAGACCTACGTTTGAGAATTTGATTTGAACTTTGCACACAGTTCTAAAGTTATATTTTTTAAACATAAGAAGTCTTGTAAATTTACTCTACATATTCCACTCCATATTTATAGCCCAACTATACTATTGTTCCACTCCATATTTATAGGCAAACCAACTATATTTATAAATAAAAATGACGATACTTGTTCACAAAAGCATGTCACTTTGATGTTTCTAAGATCTAGGAGATTATACAATTTACAAATGTGTTACATTGATGTCGATTCTTGAGTGCGAGCAATAGCGTAACCCGACATGCAAGTCTTGTTACGCCACTGCAACTAAACCATACAAAATATGTCAATTACTTTGGACATTTAGTTAAACCCACCAACAATATAAAACAAAACAGATGATCCATTTAGTTTGAAGTTCACATATATAGCTACCAACTAGCTATGTAAACTTTATGGAATTGTTGTTTTATTATAAATCAATTTTACCTTCATAAATCTATCAACAATGTGAACCATATGTTCGTGTTCAAATTTTGTTTTTTGTTGTTTTCGCTTTAGTTTATATCGTTGTCTATAACCGGAAAAAATGTAGAACTGAAATTATTAAAATACACGAACGAGTCTTATAAGTTTTGATAGCTGTATAAAATTGATTAATATAATCGAGTAATCAACATTTCAAGATAAGTTCAACTAAAATTTTAAATTGATATTCAACTTATCAAATGAATACCTGCAAGAGCAAGCCTTTTATCGAAATAATGAAAACTATTGAGTATTTCAATGTAAAAATCAGTTGAGTTTTCAACTTCATTACACAAGTTGTTCACATACTTAGCAAGTTTTGTGTCTGGAGGAGATGGTGGTTTGTTACCAGGTCTGTCTGATAATGTTGTCTTCATCAATTCTGTTTCACTGTTGGAATACTAAAATCATAATTATTCAATTATTTCAGTTATTTACCAATCATTTGCTGTCAAAGTATCATTGCTCACTAACAAGAATTATTCCCAGCGTTTTTTCATTCCAAGTTCCAAATCGTTCTGATTTTTCATAAAGTCTTTCAAAGTCGTGTATCGAAATTAAACGTTTGAAAACGCATCCTGTGATTCCATTGACAACCACCAACCTTTAGTACACGCAAAATGTACATATAAATATAATCTTCTAATAATATTTTGAATAATTGTTCTTTGAATGGTTAGAGAAATATTTTGTACATGCTCATAATTTCTTACATACAATGAATGGCGGAATTAGTTATTAATACTGAGCAAAAATATCAATCTTGTACCATCAAACACGTGAATTGGGTAGTTACACAGTAAACCACCATCAACATAGACATCTTCTTGACCATTGAACGTTTCTCGAACAACCTGATAAACACCTAAAACATGTACGAAAAATTATGGATATTACAAACTTTGCATAGTGAAAACTGAATTTACTTTCTATTTCATAAGAAAAAAGTGAAAGTATTGCTCACATTAAATGCTAATTTTCAAGTAAATGAAATGTCAAAGTGTATATCATCCAACTTTTTATAAGATTTACGAATTCGCACTTTAGAGTAATCAAGCCTTTCATCTCTTCTCAGTCATTACTCATAATTGGACTCATTTTAATTTACCTGGTAAGGCCATCGACATTTTCACAGCCTTTCGTAATGGGACGTTTGGGGTTGTTTTAGGATGAAAGTATTCTACCGACATATGATTTAAATTGGTAACTACAATACATATCTCTGTGCCAAACAGACGAAATACCTACAATACACATGCTAAATGTATATGTCATTATGATAAATGAATTCACAGGGCGATAAATTATGAAATTTTTTTAACCTCTTTAAAAGTGATATTGCTATCTCCAGTTCTTTCTTTTAACTGTTCACCAAACCAATGGTTTAATTTCTTGCCAGAATTCCAACCAAAACCTTTTCTTAGATTTGGTAGAAGACTACAGTATCCGCAGGAATGGTCTAAATATACCATAAACCATGTTAAATATACATAATTATGCAGACAGTTTATATGGTAGCTTTTGCCTGTTCAATTATCGCAAAGTAGTTTAAAATATTTGGTTCTCGTACATATAGTTGTTTGTTAAAAGTACACTGATGTATTGGAGTTAATCTACAATCGTATTTGAAGGAATTTTATGGGAATGTATGGAGATCTACCTGATAATACTTTGCCAACATCCTGACAAAGAAACTGCTGAAGTTCTTCCGGTGAAACGCGAATTGCTACTAAAGATGCGACCATAGCACCAACACTTGCTCCAGCAAATCGTTTTATGTTTTTTAATATTCCCACTTCTTCTAATACCTGATTGGCATTCATTATACATTACTGTACAAATATTTGTACACATTAAATTTATGTAAATTAAAATGTAACTGTTCTCAGTCATCCTATAGTGTAAGGCCTGGTTCACACGAATGAAATATGCATAAACACAAGCTAAGACAAAAGATTAAACAAAAGAATAAAGGAAGCAACATAAACTTTTACGTAAACGCAAGCATATGAAAAGATTTAAGCATAAGCTAAAATAAGAGTGAAAGAAAAACAAAGGAAGATTTAAATAGATTTTTCTTAGTCTTTGTAAACTGATTTCTTAGTCTTTAGACCTCTAAAGAACTAGAAATAAAAATGTTGTCGTTCTTGCTAAAGATATACTTGTGAACCAGGCCAATAACCCCAGGCCTTATAAAATTTGGTAACCTTTTTTTGTGGTCTTCTACATGGAGGAACCTATGTACGATACTACAATTGTCTTTGAACATTACAGTATTTAGTATAGTATATGTGCTAATACAGACTATTGTGGAATGTGTTGAGTGCCACAATCGTGATGGTAATACTGGTGAATTCGCCACGGAGAAATTATGACGGCCATAACATTGTTAAAATTTAAAATTGTTGCCCATATAACAACTTCCATTCCAATGCTTCTTAAAGGCCTGGGTAATGAGTTGGTCGTTTTAAAATTTAGGTTCTTATTAAACAATTGATAGATTTGCTCATCGGAATATATTTTGTGAATAAAGCATTCGTTTCATGACAGTATTTAAGATTATATTACTGTGTCATTGTCTTTATGTTAATATGAAAAAGCCAAAATTGAACATACATTACAGTGATTTGAAGATGAACATCAGAACATAATATACCTGTAATGCGCCAACATAAGCAATACCTTTGCTTCCTCCTCCTTCAAATACAAGATTTTCAAAAGAAAACTCTTGTTTTCCAAGAAAAACATCCTCCATCGACCTACTGCCTTTAAGAAATGTGGATTCCATGTAAGGTGAGCCGGCCATAATCAGGCTTGTTGCAGATACAACAAAATGTCCAGGCGTGTAGTTTGAATTTCTTCTTTCGTTTAGATGTCCTGGTGTGAGTTGTAGCGAGGTTCTTTTTCTTATCAGTTGCAAAAGAATGCTTGTGATCTGAAGGCTCTGATGTTTTACTTGAAGCGACAGGACTAGAGGTAAAATGTTTCATTTTTTGCTCTTTTTTCTCTGTGTATGAATATTGAGAAATATTCACTTCAGCTGTAACTTTAATGATGTTCTTTGTATGACTTACTCTTCTCACATTTGCCATGTGTTTTTTTGATCTTATCTGAGCTTTTTTATCATTCCATGAATCTTTAGATTTCTGTCTCATTTTTGTCAACCTTAAAGCACAAAAGCCGCTTTATCTACGACGAATATCTGTGCATTTTACAAAATCTATATGTGGGATGATAAACATGATAGATAAAACATATGTATTCAACTGCTGAATCATGTTACTTTACAGTAGGATACTTAAGCTAAGACATAGAAAAAGATTTTTTACGGCAAATGGCTGTTCAATTTTGTGATAAAAATCTTTGTTATCCCCAGTACACCCCCTCCATGTTGTTATAAACGTATTTGTACAACAATGATTTCTACTGACAAAGTCAACTGCTTTGTCATAAAACATTACGATACTGTGTTTTCTACGTGAAAAGTTTTGCAAATTTGGTTTATTTCTTTGAAAGATACTTTATATGATATTTTCGTGCGTAGAAAATTATCGGTTTATCATAGAGACTATGCAAATTTAGAATCCGTTTAAATATAGAGACTAATGCCAATGAATTATTTTTGCAAGATGTTACATTCTATGCCTAAACTTCAACTAAGAAATAGCTATTTTGTAAAACAGCATCGTTAAAAGTTTAAAAACATGAGTGTTACAGCATACAATAGTGCATACAATTGCTATATAATATTATCTCACCTAAATATGATCTTTTGCGTCGGTTTTGCGAATTTAAAAATTGTTTACTAACCACAAGTTTTAATCTTTTACACAATATATTGGCGTATTTACTTTTCCACAATAAATATATATCGTTGAAACTACTCCATGATACCATTATCAAATCACCACTGGGAGAAAGAATGTCACAATGATGTTACTGAAATGTGTTTGTATGATTATGCAAATACGTTTGGTTCACAGCTAATACGATCAGTTCATAAAATTTTCCTATGAAAATATTTTCTTTTTATTCCTTTAAATATAATCATGTGGAATTTGTGTTGGGTTCTTCTTGTTCTAAATGAAAAAAATGAACGAAATAAATAATACATTTCAAAGCTTAGCAAATGCAGTGGGTGAATTTCACCGTTTTTTACAAAACCGTTATTGACATGATAAATGTGAGGTTGAGAATATTAGCTGACATTATGATCGTAACTTAGCAATTAATAAAGTTGCATTAGTACAATATTACTAATGATTGAGCATTTCTGAGGTATAACATCCACACAATAGCTAATGTATAATTAAATATTGCACTTCTTAAGTGAAGAAAAAATTTTCAAAAGAAATCGTAATATTTTATCAGCCATTGCTTAGTTTGTCATATTAAGTTTTTGATTCTTTCATCGCGTGTCAGAATTCATTGCATTAATTAGCCACTTAGTAAATCTAACTACCACACATTGTCTTTGTTGTCTTTTACTCATAATTTCATAAAGTTTGATGAAAAAATTAACTATGTAATAATTCATACTTTATTGCATTCCTTTCACTATAAAATTAAAAGTAGGGCAAACACTCTAAATTTGAGTTAATCATACAAGATGAAAGTTTCAAAACAAAAATGAAAACAAAAAATGTCTTCATACAACTTTTGGTATAATCTTCCAGTTTTCCACTATTTTACAGATAGCTAAACAAACTTTTATTTTTCTTTCTCAACCAGCAGTTGTCCTCTATAATGTCATGTCATGTAATATTTGGTCATTAATAGAATATTTATTACACGACGTTTAGCAACAATACACACTTTACTATTTAACGCAGGCTCAATAACATTTCACGCGTTCCGCAGTATTCATCAATAGAAATCTAAATAAATATTTAAGGTACAATATCAAAGTTTTAACATGAATTTTATATTTGGCATTATCTAAACAGTTTAATAGGGTAACGAGGCAAAAACGACTCTTTACTCATTGCATGTGCAAATTAATGTAACTAATTATTTTTATTACAAAAAATATTCCCAGACTTCCTGGCATAAGTACAAAAATGATGTCATATTAATTTCGCTGCTTAGCAACTACAAAACACACTTGTCATAAATTACGATCTCTTTTACTGACATTGTGCATAATCTTCACCACGCAAAACCTGGAGTAGAAATAATTTATCGGCTATAAGTAAAAGTGATCAACAAGTGTAGAATGGATACGTGCATGTCAGTAAAGTTACTTTGTTGAAGTAGTTCAAAAAGTGTGAACTACTCGCTAATTGTGTGATTATTATTGTGTCTCTTTAAACCAAATTTCAAGGTAAACGTTTGGCTAAAAAATATGCAGAGTTTTGGAGTTACAAATTCTTGTTAAGTGAGCAAATATGAAACACAACTCACATAAATCAAAGATGTATGTAGACTATTTATGGATGCCAAGGCGAGTCAAAATCAACATGACTGCAACATCAACAAACTCCATCATTGTCAGAATACTTGCACCAAGAAACAAACCCATTAAGCCACCAATTTCACCTAAAAAAAGATAAAAAAAATACATGCAAATCAATGTACGTTGCTCTTATTTTATCAAAAAAATATCCTGGAATAAAAAACGCATAGGATATGCAAAATATTTGAATTTATCTTTGAAGAGTGTTGTGAATGAAATACCATAAGATGTAAGGTGTTCTTATTTCTAAATGGATAATGAAAATGACAATTTACCCAGTAAACTTTGTAAGGTATATGCTGGAACTTGTCTGAGAACTTTGTAAATCAGATCTTCGTAAAAGACGTCTATTGCAACCATATTTGTCCTACAAATAGATCATACAAATACCTAAACATAGTGCTATTTATTACAATTTAGTACGTTTTATCTTTATATTTTGTGAACGTCTAGTTTCAACTTTAAAATAAATATCAAGGGCAATACATTTCAGACACAAAATATTACCATTTATGGTAGCATTCTGAATCTTATGAGAATTGAAATGAACAAATTGACGCAGGTGATTTTAGCATAAAATAGTTGACTATTTGTACACATGTTCTGTTTTGCAAATTTGTGTTGACTAAATCATATTACTAAGTAACTATGAAAGTGCTATATACCATTTACTGTTGATATTTTCATCAAATTTGATAAAACAATAGTTTGAAAATAAATAAGAATTTAGCTGTAAATGTAGCTGTGAAAAGCCGTGGATTTCTTGCATAAATGCCTGTTTATCATTTGTGAGGTGTATTGTTTTCAACAACAAAACATCAAATTAAAAGTTTCTATTCCATGTTAGCTAACTTTGTAACTTTTAGTCATCGAGAAATCATGATTTGTGAAAGCTTTATCTTTAAGTGTTTGATTTTAGATTATCTTCATGACAATCATATTTTCTGTGTTGTTGCTTTAAAAGGAGCACTGGCTTTTTGTTTGTAATATTTTAAATCACGTGGCTCCAGTTTTAAGATCATTACTTTATACAAAACCTTTAAAGGTACAATATAATTGTTAAAAACACATTAGAACTACATGTTAATGTATATAAGAACTTGTGAAATAGACACATAATATACCTATCAATCGATTTGTATTCTTGTTTGACGTTTATTTCGTTTGGCTCCCTTAAACAAAATTAAAATTTTCGCAAAAAATGTAAAAGAAATTCACCATCAAAAGTTTTGTTATTGTTGACAATTTTAAACAGACCTAGGATGGATCATTCATGCCTAAAATTGAAAGCTTGCAATATATTTTGCTCTTCTGTGTTCAAAAATAAACTAATGCATGAGGAGTTTGAAGTTCTCAAGATGAATGGTGAAAAGTAGCTACCAAGCACTTTCTTTTTCATATTGTGCTATTTCATTTTGTGCTATTTTTCCCCCTTTGTTAAAATTGGGGAAAATATCATAAGGTGCAAAATCAGAGATCAAGTGTAGAAGATTTATCAAATCTCTTTGCTCCGTGTCGTTCATTTTGGAACTATCAGAGGAAGAAGGCAAAAAAATTGAAATCCTTTTTACAGTTGGAATTATTGCAGAGTTTTGGATACAGACATTGGTGGTAAGAACACCGTAGGATACTGAAACAAACGATTAAAGTATATTATGACCGAAAAAATAATGATAGAAGTGAAGCGTGAAAATTTGTGAGTGGAAGATTCAGTAAGAAGTAAATGGATGAAAGTGATTTCGGTGTGCAGCCGAAGTACCAGCTTTGTCGCAATTAAAATGGAGTTTTCTTGTTTATACATTAACTTATTAATAAAGTAGATAATTATGATACAGATAACATGGGTTTATTATTGAATATACTTAGTACGGGTGAATTTTAAAATAAATGATGGTTGTAAGGGAAGATTTTAAAACAAATTATGGTTGTAAACGATGTGTAATCAAAAAAAATCAAAAAAACGTTGGAAACACTGTTTGCATGCATTCTTGAAGTTCATGGTTTTGAAGGAGTCTTCATTAATTAATAATAAAGAAATGGATGTTCTTGACAAGATAAAAACAAAACGAACGGATAGAACCCGTTGATTCAAAATTAAAAAATATATTTTGTCATTGCCTTTATGCTTCGAAAACAATTTTTTTGTTTCATTCTACGTTTAGAAAATATGTGGCCCAGCGTAGCCGCATATTTATAATGCAATTGCCTCTCCTAAACTATGTAGCTAATTGAGTTTTAAAATTTGTTCTTATAAGGCTTGGAAAACCTAGAGTAAAGTAGCGAACTTATAGATTTTCTTTGTAAAATTTTTGCCACTAAACGTAATTTTATCAAAAATTAAAATTAAAAAATCACACCAAACTTCTATACAAAAGCACCTCTGTACGATGTTTCCCGGTAAATATCTCGTGCGTTTGTTTAATATTAATTAATAGGAACTTAGCAAGTCATGATTCGTATAAATTATATATAAAGAGAGGTATTTGTGCCTTTAGCTGAGTAGATCATCAGAAAAATAATTATCAAATAAAAAAATAGTGCTAAGATCTTATATGAAAGATGCTTGACAATTGGCTTGATTCACCATTTGACCTTTGACATGCTACTTTATTCATAGTTTTGTGGGTGCTTCAGCACATGTGATTGCGACCTTGTGAAAAGTTTTTTATATGATACAATGAACTCTGAATGAATGATTGGAAAACTGTTTTAAAATGAAATGGAGAAGTTGAATAAAGTGAAAACAATAGTTATTCAAAAGAGTCTCCTTTGTCAATGTCACTGAAAAGAGATAGCATCGGGCTTCTAAAGCTCATTGCTCACGTCTGCTGTTTGTGGAGATCGAAACCATTATTTTTAAGTAAGCACTTAATCTCTAAACGTAAGGTGCGAAGCTGTGGTTTTGTAGGATTACGGAATTACCATTCTTTGGCTTTTTTTTGAAAAAAAAAACAAGTACTGAAAAACATGATAAAAGATTATTATTATGTAATACTGTTCTTATATCAAAATATAGTATCAAAACAGGTTAGTCAGTTTTGACTTGCAATTAATCAGAATATTTTGTTAATGTTTATGATATTTTGATTGACCGGATGAATGGATAATCATTTGTTAAGAATATTATTGAAGAAATTTTGCTGTCTCGATTTTGTTTGGGTAGCGCCAACTGCACTTAACATTTTTGATTTTACAGTGGAGTTGGCGAGTTTACAATTGTTCATATCAGACTACGTTATGAAAAACAATATTTAGGAATTATTATTTGCATTATTATTTTATAAAAGAAATAAAAATATAAATCTGCTTCACAAAATTTTTACTGTTTCAAGTATTGCCCTTGATGATAAATATTGCAATTTCAATTTGTATAGCACTGTTTAAACGTTGTCATTTTATAAGTGCCTAATTGACAGTAACAATACCTGAAGTTTTGAGATGTTGTGTTTTCAGTAGCTGCATAAAGTGTTGCTGATGCATTACTGGGGAAGGAACCATAAGAAAGATACACGTTATATTTCATTGAGTCACATGATTCAGGGCATTCACATTTGGAACTATTTGATGAACTGGAATACTTCTCTATAAATTTGAATGAATAAATAAGTCAGATCACATTTGATTTATTTCAAACTTGTGAAATGGGTGAAACAGCTTGTATAAAGACAGTTTTCACGCAATTTTGGTCACAACCGAATACTTAGAATATAGCGCTCTCTCTCCACCTTACGCTTCTTTCTTCCTCTCCAGCTTAAGCCTCTCCCTTTCTACTCTCCAATATCACTTGACTCAATATCACTTGACTACCATTATCCTCCCTCTCCCTCCATCCACCATTCTCTCGTCACCACCCTCCACTATATTGCTACAGAAATTTTTGAAAACAATCGCGAGAAGAATTTGTATTTGTCAAAGACTCCAAGACTTTATCATTTACATATTACAGTTAGATTGTATCATTTGTGTACTAACCTTCCAAGGGATATACACAGTTCAAATACTGTTTAACGTTACATGGTTTGTACTTTATATCTATAAAAATGATGTCAAAGTATTTGTTGAGAATCCAAAAAACATGGGTTTAAAAGTCCTGAAACCAGGGAGGTATATTTCGGATAGTAATTCCTTCTGTCAACTCCATAAAATACATTCAGCATGTTCATGGCTATATTCATATTTCATTCATTTCAAAATATTTGGTTTATTGTTTAATAAGACATACTGTAATGTAAATTTTACGCGCATGCATAAATTTATCAATATATAGTATACAGTTACCTCTCATATAAAATGTTTGACACTTGCATGATTTTGCAATGTAGTTCTGTTTACAAACTTCATAACAAGCAGCAATAGTATATTTTTTCACTCCTGGAAGTTTCTTATCTTCGCACATTGTTTTATAAGGAGACTTTAACGAAATTGTCTAAAAATAATAATTCAAGATTTTCTGTTATAACGTTTCTATTATTAGATGCCATAAAGGTACTGAGTATTTCCCATGTTTGCCAAGTCAAGAATCAATGTTCGTCTTAATCACTAACATAATGTACACTTTATAAAACAATTATACATCAATTGTCTAAAAATAATAATTCAAGATTTTCTGTTATAACGTTTCTATTATTAGATGCCATAAAGGTACTGAGTATTTCCCATGTTTGCCAAGTCAAGAATCAATGCTCGTCTTAATCACTAACATAATGTCCACTTTATAAAACAATTATACATCAAATTCAGTTTTATATAACAATACTTACAGAAAGTACCGTTTATCCTATTCAATAAACATTTGTAAGCCACTTATGTAAAATATCACTGTAGAAAATTATGAAGATTATTGGAAAACAGTCAAAGATAAAGTTGTACATTCCTGGTATTCGTACAATAGAAAATATACTTAAAGGAAATCGTGTTTGATCAAAGCTCATCATTAAGTCACATATTCATATAATTTACTAACTTTTTACTCAGTATTTAACGACAATTAAATAAGTAGTTTTAAAGGACATAGCAAGCCATTTATAAACAACAGCAGCAGCATTATTGGCTGCTCAGCTTGTCTACTCACCCTTTGTCGTGTAATACTTGCATAAACATGAGATCCTGGCATTACTGCAAAACCTAATCCTGAAACCAGAGGAAGTTCATCTGGATCATGTATTCTAATTTTTAATCCAGCTGAAAACTCGAGAAATCCAATGTATTCTGATTGTTCTACTGATATCCTGAGATGTAGTCCAGAATGTTTGCCTGGAGCAGTTACTTTACTGTTGTTGCTTTTATCTGTAAAAATTCATTAATATTGTGAGTTTGAAGAACTATATTAAGATACACAATGATTGTATTTCATCGTTAATATTTGACATCAAAGCAAAAATTTCGATTTGGGTTTATAGTATGGTAATTTTTGAATTTCTAAAACAAAACTATCTGGTGTTTCATAAAAAACATTTTCAAACTAAAATACCTGGAGTAAACGTGTGACAAAGACCCATGTCTGTTAATGTTGGTTTAAAATATGTTTTATCGCATATTTCTCCTTTCCATGTGCAATAATAAAGCATTCCCTTCTTAGTTGTATTGTCATAGTCCATTTGATGGCTTACATTATAAATGAATGCTGTCATATTCAAATCATTGATTTTGGGGTATTTTGTCCAATCGACACTGTTGTTTTCATTTTCATAAAGAGGGTATTTTTTTTCAATTACTTTGAAAAGTCTGTGTCTTTAATAAAACTTTTCTGTACTTGTTGAAGTTACAAAATGTTATGACTGGAAATTTTACTTCTTCTTCAGTTACCAATTCAATGGAACTGGTCACATCAAATTCCAAATATTTCTGAGCAATTGTTGAAGTTTGCCATATGAATAAAGAAAACATAAAACCGTGCAGAATAAGCCAAATAAAGCGTTGTAATCCTGGACGTTTTTGAAACACGTAATGAAGACCATGTAAGGTTGAATTTCCTACAAAATCCTCCCAAAGATATCTGCCAAGATGCTTTCTCTTTTCTTTAACACTCAACTTGGAATATCCTCCATTTAGTTCCTTCAGTTCATCAGAGTGCATGATTTCTATGGGAGAGAAAGATGATTTCATAAAGAAATTGATTATACCATCATCAAGATTTATAGACGCTCCTCAGATTACGGCATTCAACAAAGCATAATAGCAAACGTAGAACTAATCAATATCTTGTTGAGTCAAATTAGCCAAATCATGCCCTGTTAGAAATTCATCTTGCCCGCTGTACAAATTTATATAATATTTATTCGTGGAAGTTTTGTCTGAAATAATAAAGAAATTCGATTCTTTTTTACTAACTTAAGTTGCTCGGTCTTTGCGAAGAAGTATTGCTTTTGCTTTTTAGTTACACAACGAATGACATAATACCCGAACTATGGCATCGATTATTGTAGTTTTGACATAATACATCTTCTTTCTTAGTTTCCTCAACCGAAAATACCCTAACATTTATTAGCTATGTATCTTTTGAGATGTCAAGAAACGTTTTTCATCTTTCAAACAAGAGTCAACCTTACTTTGAGCTTAAAATCGAAAGCCATAAAGATCAGCAAAGATTTGTGATCGGCAAAGATTTATAACTAGTAGATTTAGTTTGTGAGATTATTGTTCGTTAATCCTTGAATGTATGGGTGTGTTCTATAGTGTAGCTATATGTAAGACAGGTTTTTGTTGAGCCTACAGTTAAGATAGTTCGAAATTCTCAAAAAATTGTATAAACTCAAACAAAAACTTTGGCTATTTTTGAACGTTTTGGTGCCTATAAAACTGAATTGCATTCATATTGCATCATAATTGGAACATCTTAAACTTTAGTTTGATGACATCGCGTATCATTTGAATAGTTCTCTATTACGTATATGGTAAACACGAAGAAAAAAGCTTAGTACTAAAATACATAAAGTTATCATTCAAGCACAGAAAACAAAAATTTTAGTGAAGTATTACTATATGTTATTTACCGGCTGAGAGGTCCCGATAGGAAATGACTTTTCCGCGGTCTCAAAAAGAGCCTGAGGCCGAGGGACGTTTTTGAGACCAAGGGGAAATTTTTCCATCCGGACCGACCTAAACAATTGCCTCTCCTAAACCATGTAGCTAATTGAGAGTGGGAAAAAATAACATATCGTTATCCTGCTACAACAGATCATAGAGCATTTCAAGAAACGCTATGTATGAATCAGAAATGTCTTATTTCATACTAAGATCAAAAGGCTCATTGTTTGGTTATTTCCTTAGTCTTCTGTTGTAATAAAAATGTAAGGCTTTAATTTCGAATACTCGTCAATAGATATCAGGTGTTTTTTAAATTGACGCCATGTCATATGTTAAGTGCGTAAGTTTCAAAAGCTAACGAATCAATCGCAATTAAACATGCAGCAAAATTAGTTTTTACCACACAATTAGACACATTTAGTGTGAGGTATACAGGAATTTACAATACGTGACTATGCATAAAGCAAAACTATTGTATTTTGAAATGCTTATGTTGCATTTCACTTATATTTGTGCTTGAATAACCTTTGGTTACTTAAAGTTAATATAATCTAACTTTATTAAAATAATTTACGATAACATGAGAATTTCATGGACAGTAAAATATTAAACAGGCGACTCACTTTTTTGTAGCATGTCGATGGAGCTCAACAAATATGATTATTTGGACGCATCTTAACTTCTAGCTTTTTATGATTTAGCATGCTTGCATACTGCATGACAGGTAGTATAAAAAAACTGGTGACATGATTCGTTTTAATGTGTCTACGACAGCAGGTATTTGTAATCGTAAATGAAGCTTTATATACGTGTTTCACTCAGTCAAGCCAAGACACGCAATCGTAAGCATAGTTTGTGAACTCCATCTGTGCACTCCTATGTACGTATAGATGCTAAATTTATTCCAATTTGGATGAATAACATTAAGAAACCTAATTCAATTGGAATCAAAATATGCTATAGGTACAAAATAAAAGCTATCCTTTTGCAGACCTCAACAAAGGTCCTATTGGAATAAATTTACTTTGTCGTTTGATTATTTCTTATGTTATTGTGAAAAGCAATAATTCTTTTTAATATTTGAGGTCAGTAATATTAATTATTTCACAGTATGCTCATTAAACACAAATGAAGTATTCATTTGTGTGAGGACAAAAAACGAGCTTCCAGCTTCATGTCAATGTAATTCCTTTATAGAAATATGAGTAGATATCATATGGATAAAAACATTTCTTTTACCTTGCAAGGTTTTTCTTCGTTCAGTTCTTTATTTACTGTTACTAACAGAACTAAATATAGCTACATTCGTGAGAATTTCCCCAGTTTAAGATCAACAATGTTTCAAATATAATGCTCAATATGACCATAAGACCACTTTTTCCGCCTGACTATCAGTATATTTCTATTACTTTAATAATGTTAACAACATCTGATTTTTTTATGTTGTTTTTATATCATTTGTGTTTATATTCATCCGGTTATAATGTACGTCACAGTTTGACATTTTGTTTCTCTTGTTGCTGTCGTTTCAAGTATCAAGGTAGACGTTAATTTAATCTCTATGAATAAATAGTTAATGTGAGGTTTTTTTTATCACGCAAATTTATATCTTTTCACCTTGACATCTGTTTCTCATGTAGCCCCAAATATAATTTTTATTTAATCTTGCTATGTTGTAAAGTTACAATTACTGTTATTGTCACTAATTTATAATTACTTCATTCTTTCACAAACAAAAGCTCTAAAATTTTAAAGCGGAGCAAATCTTCAATAGATAAAAGTCTTCTGAGTTTTTCAACTTATTTAAGTTGACATATACATAGATAAAATAATTAGATAATTTCGAACTTGGGTACGAGATTTTTATCTAACCAGCATTGAATTTGTATCAATATAGAAATTATATAATATAATAAATCATTATAAGTTTAGTTTCTTTGACAGAAATAATCCTATAAGTTATATTTGAGGTAAAATTTACATTTTTGATCACGTAGGTCATGCAATGGTAGAAAAGAAATATTAAGCCATGTATGTACAGAAATCCCGCACAATGTTTAATCAGTGAATTAAAACAGTTATTGTTTACATAAGCACTGCAAAAGCTACAAATTTTTTATTGCATACATATTAAAATAACAGACAAAAAATGCATTGAACGATGTTAATTAATTTATACTTTTAAAGGCTTTTAACACTCAGTGACTTTTACAACTTGTTGAGATGTTTAGGTTGTTTCTGGCATTTTGAGTAGTTTCGTGTTTTTCAATGCACTGATATAATATGTTAGAAAGTAATAATCTAAGCTTTTTGAACGTTCAGTATTTTTAAGAGACCATGAAATGATGCTTCTTCTGCTTCTGTAAATTGATACGACTTTGATGTAGCTGACAGCCTGACACTAATAAGATTGTGCACTTCGGCGCATCAACATAAAGCCTGACAGACAGCGCAATGCAAAAAGATATTATTGTTTTCTTGATAGTCGACCTTTAAAAGTTCAATTTGCATTATTCCTGTTTTTAATTGAATGAAGTGTTATGTCGCTCGATTAAAGCATGAAGACGTTTACTTTTATTATTCAACAGTAAGCGATGTTGGAAATCTAATACTTTCGAAAAGAGTTTCTTAATGTCATATTTAAACAAATAAAATCTATCAGACGTGCTGTGGTTTGCTCATGATCTTAGTTATCGCGAGTATTTTAATAGATTCGATAACTTTTAAAAATAATACCGTCTAAATGAGTTTGAAATGGAAAACCTTACCTTAAGTGACATTATAGATTCATTATCATTCACTTGAAATTCTCAGACACTCATGTATGTACACGTCTCTCTACCACAATGCATCATAAATATAGTTAACCGGTTTTGAAAGTTAAACGCTTATTAAAAAATTAATGTCAAAACCAATTAGTCAAAATTATTTGCAAAAATCGAGACAAACAATAAAACAGCATGATGTAGCTACAAACCACGTAATATACGTTTTGATTTCTTTCATTTTATATCTTGTTTTACTGTCTTCAAGAACTACTATAATTTTTGTGTTGTACACTCAAATTTCTGTGAAAAATTGAATGTATTGCATACAACTCAGCAAGTCAACTTTGTATATTGTCCTAGCTACACCTTCATGAATTTTACATTTTCTGGTATTTAGCAAAATTATCAATAATTAAGTAAACTTTTCCTTATATTATAAACATACGTTCGATTTATACTGCTGATTATCTTTTTTTGACTTATTTTTGCTCTATATTTAACAGAAACGATATGTTTTTTATTGTTTAAATTTTTCTGTAGATATAAATGGGCCATAGTAAAATGTGTCGCAATTAATAAATAGTAATTATATATACACAGTCACGCAATAACTTGTGGGCTACTAACACATAACAAGAACGCCTTACTAATAATTATTGCTTTCCTCAGAAGAGCATTTTCTAAATTGCTTCCAAACAAATCGTGTTTATAAACGAACGGGCATAGCCACTTGTGTTTTACCTACATTGGACAATTAAATTTATGATACTGAGCTACATACTGTTATAACGAGCTATATTTTTTTAAAAAGAACTGAATAAACACCAAAAAGGACAATTTAATCGTAAAATGGAATGTTTGCATGCTATTTACATAACACACACATTTTATTTGTTTTCTATGGTAACAAATGAGAAACTATGAAACATAAAAAACAAAGTGATTCAGAAAGGCCATACATATTTTTTATGTTTATGGAAGAATGTAATATTTGATTACGTTATTGAAAGCAAGATTTGATTCACATAAATGTATTCATTGAGCTTAACACAAGTTTTTTCTTATCACAAAACTTTTATTATTCAAACCTCGGCAAACTACAAGTGTCAAGTGCATTAAAGACAAAAGAAAATGAAATTCTTAATTATCGTTTCTTTTATGTGAAGTTTGACATTTGGAAGAGTTCTTGATCTCAGTTTCATTACTGAACTGAAAGTTGTGGTACATATTTGTTAGCAAATGTGGATGAAATATATGAACGGCACATTTAGGTTATGTACAATTATGTAGTGTACAATAACTTCTATATAGAAAGGTTTGCAGCCAACTTTGCGTAAATTAATAGCAACTTTATTCGCAGTCTTGTGCAACGGAGGTTTGTTATTACTAACACGCATGTAGAACACAAAACTCATAACTCATCGAGTTTAGATGAAAAGTTGGGACTACGTCAGAGAGTTTAGTTGAAAAGTTGGGACTACGTCAGAGAGTTTAGTTGAAAAGTTGGGACTACGTCAGAGAGTTTAGTTGAAAAGTTGGAACTTGGAGAGTTTAGTTGAAAAGTTGGGACTGCATCAGAGAGTTTAGTTGAAAAGTTGGGACTACGTGAGAGAGTTTAGTTGAAAAGTTGGGACTACGTGAGAGTTTAGTTGAAAAGTTGGGACTACGTCAGAGAGTTTAGATGAAAAGTTGGGACTACGTGAGAGAGTTTAGTTGAAAAGTTGGGACTACGAGAGTTTAGTTGAAAAGTTGGGACTACATGAGAGAGTTTAGTTGAAAAGTTGGGACTACGTGAGAGTTTAGTTGAAAAGTTGGGACTACGTGAGAGAGTTTAGTTGAAAGTTGGGACTAAGTGAGAGTTTAGTTGAAAAGTTGGGACTACGTGAGAGAGTTTAGTGAAAAGTTGGGACTACGAGAGAGTTTAGTTGAAAGTTGGGACTACGTGAGAGAGTTTAGTTGAAAAGTTGGGACTGCATCAGAGAGTTTAGTTGAAAAGTTGGGACTACGTGAGAGAGTTTAGTTGAAAAGTTGGGACTACGTGAGAGAGTTTAGTTGAAAAGTTGGGACTACGTGAGAGTTTAGTTGAAAAGTTGGGACTACGTGAGAGAGTTTAGTTGAAAGTTGGGACTACGTGAGAGAGTTTAGTCGGATAATTGGGGTTTCCTCTTTATTTTATTCTGCTTCTTTGATAATCTTGTCACTGTAATAAATTATATATGTGTGGTATGGTAGTGGTACATCATGTATTTTAACCTGCTCATTGAAGCTGCATATATATTATATGGTGTATAATACTCGACAATGTTAGATCTCTTAAAGAGTTTGAATCAATCCTGGTAATCATTTATAAACTGGTATTCTCACGCAAATTTCAAGAATTATTTCAAACAAAGCTGTTGGCCATATAAAATATGAATACCGAAAAATCCTGATCGTCAGGAGAACTCCTTTTTATTCATTGGTTTTACCAAAGCTTGAATATACTCTCGTAAATTGTCACCAGTACAGATTAATAAAAATATGCTTTTTTCTTCATCATGCCCAAGATGGGAATCTCTAGTTTAATTTTCAAAAGCAATAAAAGCTTAATTTGTTTTATACTAAACTTTTTGTAATGATGTAACCGTTAATTATCACAACTAATTTTTATCATGCAGTCGTATGACGAGACAGCATCGTCTATTTTAATTAGAAATCTGCTCTGTTGGATCAGCATTCTTCAATAAATATCTATTCATGATCATTAAAGGATATTAAACAATAAACCATAAACCTCAAACCATCTATACACAAACTTCACCTGCATTGTTGAAGCAAAAGTCGCCTGCTAGCGCTTCCTCTATTATAACTATTTGTCTGTATTGCAAGTAATTAAACTGATGACCGTGTATGTATATGCCGAAATTTTGCGTTCACTCTCCGCGAATACAAAGATTATAGAACTAAAATTCGTGTTGTACTTACTTTCATAAAATAAGGCTCATATTTTTAGGTATAAAAGTACTACTCTTCATAAAGCAAAAAAACTTGTAAAATTATTTATTTCCATTTCATTCCTCAAGTTATTGTTCCATTTATGTATTTTTGTTCAATGCTTATCAATACGAATTGCTTGTCACAACGTTGAACGTTTTAACCTTAAACAGACTTGAGAGATCACGGGGATTTTACTCATTTTAATGAAACAACTTGACGAAGCAAAGGAGATTGCTAAACTCATTACTAAATAATATGATTGTAATCAATCTTGTATTGTTAAAATCCGTTTTCAATGACAGTTCAATGTTGACCTGACTCAGGTGTAATCACACTGTGTGATCAGTAAATTCTTCCAAAATCTCCAAATTTAGAAGAAAAGGGACAGTCCAATATCAAATGTCAAAACACTTAAAATTGTCTGTAAACATTATATTGTTATGGCACAGTGGCAAGTACAAGTGCCGAAAGAAAGAAGCTATCAATCGTATTTATTCACCTTAAGAAACATCGATTGCTGCTACTGCGCTTGTTGGTGTGTTACTTGGAATCATTATTGGCATTTCAAGTCATGATGCTGTACAAGAATCTGAAAATCCAACAGCCAGACGACTGGCAATGTATATAAAATTCCGGGAACTCTTTATACGCATGCTAAAGTTAATCGTCGTTCCATTAATAACATCCAGTATCATCGTGGCAAACGATATTGATATTAAAATGCTGGCCGTCTTGGTAAACGGACTATGATCTACTATATTTCTACGACTTTACTATCAGCCATTCTCGGTTTAATCCGCAATGATCATAAAACCGGGACAAGGTCTACATAAAGACGTCAAAATCTGGATAAAATTAATAGAAAGTCAATTGATTCTTTCTGGATCTCTTAAGGTATACCAAAGGGTGGTTTTAAATGTTCTAATTTAAATTTACAACACGTGAACGAGCAAGTCATTTAAGAAATAGCTCGTGTATACAGTGAAAAGAAAAGTCATGTTATTTCTCATTCAGCATTGGCACCATAACGTCGAGAATAAAGAATTAAAATTTACATCAAATTTAATTTTCATTTGTCTTATATAGAAAAATTGTTCCTGATAACCTCGTAGAAGCATTTTCAGATCGGTAAGAACCTCTTTGATTATTGTTGAATTCATAATGCAAACGAAAATTTTACGATACAAGAAATATGTTTAACTTTTTGTGGTTTCACCACGCATTTCTCATTTCTGTCGCCTGGACAAGTTACTATTTGTAAACATTGCTTTTCTACATTAACGTGATTTCGGGACAAAACTAAAAAAAATATATGTAAGGTTTTAAATATGTGTAGGTTTTTATTTATAATAAGTTATATTTTACTGTTGATCAGTGAATGAAAACCAAATTAAAACACTTGATTTCATTAAATGATAGATACTTTATTGAAGATTTACTGAATAGAGTTGTATACTGCAAAGAGTAAACTGTTGATAAAAGACTTCTGCAATCTTTGCAGCAAGAGCTACATACATACTAGGCAAATGTGAAGTATTAATTGCACTTGCCTTAATTTGTCTCAACACCCCACCCCAGCCCAAATATGATTAATTTTCTTGCAGGGGGTATCATCCATAAATTGATGACTGATTTTACAAGTTAAGTAGTTTGTGTTTTAATTTCTCATGAAAGATTGTTGTTAAATGCTTAATTTTGCACAGGTCTTTACCAAGTACAACAAAAATGAGTTAATTATAGATATGGTTATGAGAATATCTCAACATGTCGCGAAAGCATTGATAAAATTTCTCAAAGAGCAAAAAGTGTTCAGTTAAATGAACAAAATGTTACTAAGATATGAAAGATGTCACATATAATTAGGTGGTACAAGTAAGGTGGTGGAACAAACATGATTGGTTTAATAACAGTTTCTATTGCTTTGGTATTGTTCTTAATATCATAAAGATGTGGTATTCATTGGTAAACATTTTTAGATCTCTGTGAGTGCAACTATGAAACTTGTTGAAATTATCATTAGTGATTGCAAACTGATATTATCATATGTAATGATAAATTGAGAAT